AAAAAAAAACCACATCCCTTTCTTCGCAGAACAGAGAAGAGGGACAAAAAAAAGAATGATCAAGTGCTCGAGCTCAGCGCTCATCACCCGACCCCGAATCGAACGGGGACTTCCTGCTTGCATCGCTCTCCTCATTCGTAAGTGTAGCAGGTGCACACCTCGTGCTATCGGGTGCTTTCTCCTATCCAAAGTCTGGGCCATTTTAATGATTTGTACGAAGTCAAACCAGAAAAAACCCTGAATCTCGACTCTCAAGGTCCGCTCGCGATCAGTTCAAGCTCCGCTTACGTTGCCGGTTCAACCCTCTTGAAATTTCGATTCGGTGTAAGGTCCTCCCTCACCTTACACAGTTCAACACAAAAAAAATATTACTGTAATGTTCACCCCCAATCCCAACTCCAACTCGACTTAAGGAAATAAAAAAAAGAACTGCAATAGGTACGCAACATCACCCGACCCCGAACCGAACAGGGGAGCTCCTGCTTCCTAAACTTTCAGCTTGACCGGTGGAAGAGTCGCAGGCGCACACCTCATGCCCCGGGTACTTGCCTACCCACCGTTAAATTGAGGCAAGTATTACACCCCTCCTTCAAGTTCTTACACTGCCAATTGTACATGTGGAATCGCAAATTCGAACCCACCCCAACTCATGTTTGAACATCAACTTCAGTATTACAAACTACGCCTGGAATTGGATTGCTTGAGCCACAAATGAACGACCACAAGCGGACCCGGCAGCTCAGTCACTTGCAACAGCGTGAAACTGAAAATAAATAAATGAACTGGAAGAAAAAAACTCGAAAGTCATACCCAATCGCCCGACCCCGAATCGAACGGGAGACCTCCTGCTCAAAGTTACACACAAAGAGTGCCAACAGCGCAAGTGTCGCAGGCGCACACCTCGTGCCCCGGGTGCTTGACTATGTAGTTGTGACCCGAGGTATATGGTGGACTTGAGGGTCGATTGAGATTTAGGGAGTACATATTTATCTACTTATACAAATGAAAGCAGTCGGTTAGCCAGCCAATCAGGTTATAAGGATAGCTGTCAATCAGAGGGCTGTGCGTCGACACGTGTCAAGACGGCACAGCACTACTGTCGCAGTCAGCCTCCTGTATCCGCTTGCTGGCGCTTGCCTATGGCCTACCTGGGGATTAGACTCGTAACCAGTCTGCCTACGCCGTTCTAACAAGGCGGGCTTGTTGCCGTAGGCAGACTGGTACTTCTCGGACATCCCAATTGGGCTGGGGCGGAGTTTGAAATTAAGTCTTGACTTGAGTGGGGTTGGTCAGAAGCGATGACCAACCGATGACGCACATCCGCATTTAGCTCCTTTTGATTTAGTTTCTTCTCTAAACTCGACTCAATTTTATGGATCCTCCGAGTTAAAAAGCAGAAGTTTGAGGAGACAGATGTGAAGGGGTGGAATTATCATTGATTATTCCAGCTTGAATGGAGAAGAAAGCTTGAAAATTGCGGCGCGCGAGAATACCTCGAGAAATTAAACACTTAAAATTTCAAACTCCGCCCCAGCCCAATTGGGATGTCCGAGAAGTACCAGTCTGCCTACGGCAACAAGCCCGCCTTGTTAGAACGGCGTAGGCAGACTGGTTACGAGTCTACCTGGGGATTCCCTTGACTGCCTATGACTTCCCTGACTGCCGAAACATCCTTTGGCTTCCTTGACTGCCGTGAAAACACGAAAACACGAAACAATTGGTGTGCTTTCAGACAGTTGCTGTTCTTTATAGCTGCTTCAGTTATCTGAAGTGCATACTGTAAAACTAATAAAAATTGCTTCTTCTTTTATTGCTGTTGTGTTGCTGCAAAATCTGTCAGCAAAGTGTGATCAACACGTCGTTCTAAGTCTGCAAGGCTCAAGCGCATCGCACTGTCTGGAAGTTTTCTGTGTGCTCCCTGGCCTCTGTTTCAGTGCTCCTCTGCATTCTGGGTGTACTGCTCATTGTGATGTGAGTTCCTTTGCCATTTTCTATGGCCTTTTCGTTGCCCAACTCATTTTCATGGATGGGCTGACTCCCCTACGCACCGTGTCTTCCGCATCACTGGCACATCGCCGGACAACTGGAGTTTGGCAGGTATGCAATGACGCTGTAGGTTCTCCGTATCACAGCCTACATTAACACCGCTTGTAATGTTCTCCTGGCTGGAACTCTCTTCAAGATGTCAGCAACATTCCGCGGCTGCAAATACAAAATCCCGTTGCCGGACCATCAGTGGAGGATCGGTGTTCCGGTTTCCGGGAGGCAGAGTGTGAGCGACAGGCTGCATTACAGGAAACTCCAAGCCGGCGTTGACAACGTGTTCCTGTGCAGCCATGGAACGAGAACCGAATGCTGTCCCCCACACCAAGCACTTCCCAGGGTGCTCAATCAGTGCGTTGTTAACTCCTGCTCACTGAATTGAAATTCTGATCGGTTTTCAGATGTCGTTAGGACTGGGTACTCCCCTGGACTCTCTCAACACCCTGTTTTAAGTGCAAAAACGCGTGTGCAGCGTGAACGCGAGGCAGCCGCGAAGGCTACCGGTCCACGTCCCGCACCACATCCTGTTGAGGCAGTTGGTCCTGGACAGCTGTCTGTAGGACAGCAAGCCCGTCGTCAAAATGAGTGCAATGATTATGGTTTTGTCAGAGAGATCATTCGGGTGCATGTGTTCACTCATCCTTCGTGTTCTATTACTTATGTGCTAGCAGCTCATTCCCCTTCATGAGACTGTCTATCCAGAGGTCGACTCGATTGCCTCGACGTCTGACAGCGACAATAACAAGCCCCTGGAGCCGGAGGTTCGGATTCCAAAAATCAATACAGAGTACCTGCCTTACGTTCTTTTCTCCGGTCTGCCCTTCAATGGCAACAAAGACAAAGGGCCATTCGACATTGACATTGGACAATACACCCAGCTTTCGAAAGGTGATCCACTTACTGTGCTGCCTGCCTCCTGTTTGATCATTGACTCTCCTCCGCATTGGCCCAGTAACAAACCTGTTCCCTACCCTGGGAAGTTTGACTCGGCTTCGGGACATGTGGTAGCGATGGAGAACAAGCAAGTTAACGGTTCACCATACGAAAATCGCTTCAAGATCACGGCTGACAATGTTGTCCATCTTGGGGAACAACAACGACCGTTCGATGCCAGGTAAGTCTTACCATTCCAGTCACTTCATCTCATTTGGCTGACACTATAATTGTAACCTCATCGTTGAGCAAGCGGAAGATTGCTCCTACATTTAATGGCCCTATTTCTTGGGTCAAGCGTCACAACAATGGAGGCGCTCTGTCCTCTTCTCCCAGCAGCTTTTGACGAAAAATTTACTTGGATAGATCTTACATAGAATTTTGCTTGGAAAGAACGTGTATTCTTTTTTCTTTTTTTAAAGAGCGAGATCTTCAGTGGTTGACTTTCCATAAGCTTAGATAAATTCTGGGGAATATTTTGAAGCTTTGCCGAGACAGCTGTCGGGACCCCATCACTTCGGAGGCACGAAAACGTACAAGGTTTGCTCGAAATTTAAGAAATTCTAGAGAGGGGGTAGCGACCCCCCCTTCAGACTTTATTGCTTGGAATAAACTAGTTTGGCGGTGTGCACAAACACTCCGTCCGCTTCCCAAGCCGCCAAGTGGCCAAATTCTGTTGAGAAAAATGCCATGGCCTCCCATTCCTCATCGGAGTTTGTTCCGGTCCTTCTTCACTTCAGGCATACACTTGAAGTACCCCTGTTAGGGTAGTTGCCTCCCCTGGAGATGACTACCCTAACTGGGGTCTGCCTTGAGGGGGACACCCAGCTGGCTGGGTGCACCCACCCATCTAGGCTGGGTCCATCCACAGCAATACAGCTGGGTGTGTCCAGCATGCTGGGTGCATCCAGATGTGTCACGTCACGCTCTCCCGCGCGCAGCGCGGGCCGGAAAATTTCGGGTTTTTGGGGCGGTTTGGGCACTTTTTGCAGGCCCTTTTAGACTATATACTATAGTAGGTTGAGGCAGGCTCTTTTGTGGCAGTACCGCGCGCAGCGCGGGCCGGAAAATTTCGGGTTTTTGGGGCTGGTTTGGGCACTTTTTGCAGGCCCTTTTAGACTATATACTATAGTAGGTTGAGGCAGGCTCTTTTGTGGCAGTACCGCGCGCAGCGCGGGCCGGAAAATTTCGGGTTTTTGGGGCCGGTTTGGCCACCATTTGCCAGCCTTTTGCCAGCTCTATACACTACCTCATGGGCCAGTTGAAAAGTCTGCCTTGACCACTGGCTTTTTCCAGGCTACCAGTAGCGTTCAACAAAAAGTTAGCTTTCATAATTCACATTCGTTATATAAAACTTTGCATGTGTCTCCCAAAACCAAATGGTTGAAACACAGAAGGGCCTCACTTCAATTTTATTGGTATATGTCTTTGCTATTATTATTACCGTCTTGTTTTGTAGACTTAAGCAACATATTTAATACATACTGCCCATTTCTTACTCCGGAATTGTGAATGGGTTCACCCATCCTACCAATCTGGATGCACCCAGTTCATGAGCTGGAGCCACCCACCATCCTTTGCTGGGTGCACCCGCCACCTTTTCAGGGAGCACCCAAGGCAGCGGCGGGTGAACCCCTGCTGTTCTACCTGGGTCTGCCCAGCCACAGCCTGGGCACACCCACCATGAGTGTGGGTGCTCCCATGTCAACCAACCATGGGTACACCCACCAGCCTGGGTGCACCCAGGACCTGCATGGGTGTACCCACCAGAACTCAAATATCAGCCGGGTGCTCCCAGCTCTCTATGGGTGTACCCATCGCTATCCGGGTGCACCCACGGCTCAATTTTCCTCTTTGAGTTATTTCAACACAAAATAAAGCAAAATTTGTGTTTCTTCTTCTTTCTTTCTACGCCGCCCGGGTCTCACATTCAATTGACTTTCCTGTATTTCTTTTCTGTTTGTATTACCAAGTAAATTGTAAATTGTCAACTCTTTAGTAGGATCAGAATTTCTGTGTTTGTTGTTCACATGGTGTAGTGGTAACACATCCTTTCATTATGGTTTGGGGCGCTCTATCTACAAGGGATGTCGCGGGTTCAACTCCCGCTGTGGACATAATTCTCCTCCAACTGGATTTTTTATTTTTATTTTTAATCTCACGACGACCGACAGACGAAAACAAAATTCTACAGTTTTGAAGACAAACAGAACAGAATAGTTTTTGCTCTTATTATCCATTGGCGATACTGAATCAAGGAATTAGACAAAGGCCGACAACAAATTTATCTCAATACATGCAATCCATTTTTAAACTATCGATGAATAAAATCGGAATCAAAGAAAGACAGTCGTGAAAAGTATCAGCATAGGCAAAAACCGGCAAAGACATAAAGAAATCCAACGCAATTTACTCAGTATTTAAAGAAAATCTCCTCGGCCGCTAAGCTCTCTTTCTTCCTCTCGGCAGCCCGCAGCGCTCGCCGACGCTCATCCCCCGCCGCAGATGACCCAAATGGCTGGCCGCCCACTGGCGTAGACTCCAGCCGCTGCGCTACTACGCCACGACGCGCTACTAAATCTACTAAAGCACAACGTCAGTTCCCGAACACGGCGGCAACGAAAAACAAAACGCACTTTTCGGCGGGCGCCACGAGGCCACGGGGCATCTTGAGGCGTTGAGGCAAGTGCGCCATGCGGCGACGGCCGCGTCCAACTTGTCGTAGGCGCGGCCATGGATGCGGTCTACATGTGGATGAGGAACGAGCTTCCGCGGCGTCCCTGCGGGGACGCGTCGAATCGGAGGCACTGCAGGCAAAGAAATCAGCCTCCTGCACGGATAACAAAGGTCTGAGATGCCTTACCAACGTGCAGCGCGCAACCAGAGTCCGTCTTCGCCCCGGACACGGCCTCAGCTGGACAGCTGCACGGCTGGCAAGCACAAAACAAAAGAAAAAGAAAATCAGTAATAGCGATGCCTTCCATACAAAACACGACGCACTGGGGCTTCTTTGAAAGCGTCGGCTCCGGTATTGTATGGGTGATAAACCCAGCACGCCTTGCACACCGGAAAAGACCTGACCACCTCGTCCTCGACGATACTATATTCGCCCCAGCCATAGACCTTGACGCGTTGGGCGCACTTCGTGCACCTGTCGGCTCCGTAGTCGCGGTTGTGAGCGGCAACACCGCGTTCGAGTTCCTCGTGCCGCAGGAAGCACATTAAATCGTGAGTGTCCAGTAGCCCGATGTCGTATAAGGTGGGAGTGGCCGACATAGATAGTTGCAAAGGTCAAAGGTTGGGGGGGCACGGTTTGTGATAGCGGGGTGGGGAGGCGTTGGAAGAGCTGTGGACGTCCGTCTCGGTTTATATAGTTCGCTTTAAAACAATGAGACGCACCCGTATGCCCAATTAAGCTTGTGGACCAGAATGGGCCACCATTCTTCCACTTGCCACCCAATTGTCGCTTATTCCTTTGTACCCCATGTCCATTTCTAACCCCGTTCGTATCGACCTCATCTCATTGTGTTCCTAATTAACCACCTACGACAGGAACGAACAAGCATAATTATCATAGGTATCATGTACATCGTAACTATCGTAAATAATACACTGCGTTATTCAAACAAACGTTCTACCCATTTGTCATAAATGTCCATCTGTCCCTGGTTTACCAACGTGTAGCTCCAGTTCGCGGGCAACTTGGTCCACCCGGTGTGGACGTCGTTGTATTCCGTGTACCTGTCTGCCGGGTGGGTGCTGCTAGCGCCGTCGTTGTCGTTCAAGTGCCCGTAGAATATTGCGCTTTTCTCTGTGCCGCGCTTCAAACGCAGCTGCACCGCTGCAGAGCCGGCTGGGGCTGCTGGCTGTGCGTCAGCCCTGACCTCATGTCGATAGACATCCGCGAGCCGTGCTCGCTCCTTTTCCTCCGTGCTTCGTACGCGCGGCTTCTTTGCGGGGTGTTCGCGCTCGGCGTGGGACGAAGATCCGGCTGCGTTGTCCGCGCGGCGAGAGGAGGCTGTGGGGCGTTCTTCATAAGCGGGGCGGGAGAACGATCCCGCTAGCTCTCGACCGTTGTCCGCGCGGCGTTCGTCATGAGCGGGGCGGGAGAGCGATCCCGCTGGCTCTCGACCGTTGTCTGCGCGACGGGAGGAGGTCCCGTGGCGTGCGTCGTGAGTTGGGCGGGAGGAGTATCCGGGGCGGGCACCACTGTCGACCAGACGGGAGGGGGCGGCGGCGGTGAGACGGACGCGTTCTGCGTGCTGGCGGCCACGGCTATGTGACGGCGACCTTCGGAATGGAGGGTCGGGTGAAGGGTCCCGCCTCGCCGTTTCACGTTCTCGGCTGGGGCCACGACTGGTAGGGCGGGAGTCGGCCGATGGTGAGCGTGAGGGGCGGCGTCGCTTCTTGTCGTTCCTAACGGCCTTTGACTTTGTTTTCGCCTGCGCCTTGGCGACTTCCTGTAGCCACTTCTTTGACCCCTGGACGCGCACGAGCGTGGTTCCATCGACGGTCGTGACCAGCGGAATGTTCGCCTGGTCTTCGAGCGGTATGTCGACTTCGTCTGGACGCGCGGTTAGCGGATTGAGCGACAAACGCGACCAGTCAAATCTTACCTTCAGTCCAAGGCACTATGCGCAGCGCGTCTTCCTTGTCGGCATCTTTGAGCTTGGCTTCGACGCCCTTGCGCTTGGCGGCGTTGGGAACGGCGTCGCCGCTGCGCTGGTTGTCGGAGCCCTCGTCGCCGGAATCCTTTGCTCCGCCGCTGTCGTCTTCATCGTCGTCGGAGTCTTCGACCTGTTTTTTCCCCCCAGCCGGCGCATGAGGGATCCCGTGCCTCTGCTCCATCGCCGGAACGACGCGGCGTGCATTGACGATCGTGAATTTGGTCATCTTGAAGCCCTTCTTCGGCCAGACGCCTCGTCCCGCCATCGTGTCGTCCCAGTTCTCGATTCGGAGCTTGTGCTTGAAACCGTAGTCCTCCCATGACGTCCATTTCATTTCCAGCGTCGTCGACGACGCCTCTTGCACGGAAAGCTCCCCGCGTTCGACCTGAATCGCCACTGAGTCCGTATGTTAGTGAAGGCCCAAAAACATCTCCGGACAACTTACACATATCGCCCACCAAACGATCTTTGATGAATTTCCGCAGAGCGTCGCGTTCTTTTTCCTGCGTCGGGTATTCCGTATGGCTCGGCCACTGGATCTGCAGCTGCTTTTTGGACTGCAGCAGAGCAGCGGCGCTGGCTCCATCCAACTCCATCTGCAGAACACTGGATGGGTGGCGTCAGGAAGGTCCTCGAGCGACACAGATCATACGTACTGGAGCGTGGACTCGAACTCCTTCAGCGTCGTTCTTTGCTGACTCTGGTATCGCTGCTTCCATAGCTGGAAGGCGGGCGACGCCCCGAAAGACTTGCTCCCGCCGTCGATCGAGATGACCTGTCCCAAGACATGTACATTAAGCTCCTTGTAAGCTCTTTCGCTCTGTACACGACATTCAATCCCGGTCGATCTTGCGCCAAAAAAAAACGAAAGATCCTCACCAATTTGGTCGCTTCCCTGGCCACGGCGGCGATGCCCCGCTTCCGATACCCGCTGTCCTCGGGGTCGCCCAAGAGAGAGTCCGCGAATTCTCGATTCCACTCGGCTAGCCATGGTAGCTTTTCGAGGACAACGGCGGTGCTCTTGCGCTCCTCCTCGCTGAGGTCAAACGGCGCCAGTAGCGCTGCATATTCATGTGTGGCAGATGCTGCGCATAAGCAGGTCAGAGTAAGATTGGGGAGATTTAAGTGGTAAACATACCTGTCCCGTCCCACTTGTGCTTCCCACCGCTCTCGCTGTAGAACCAGCGCTGATACATATTCCACGCGGTCATCTGGCGAACCTGCTTGGACTCGGCGCCGACAATCGACCAGAGGACACTGCTTGGTTTGTTTATCTTCACCGCGAGGGCCTCCACCTTGTTGTCGAATTCAGCCTTGTACTCGAACAGCTGTCGGCGGGACGCCTGATCCACAGCTCCCGCCTTGTGCCGCTTCTTTGGCGCGTCTTGGCCGTCGGCGTCGGCGTCGTCGTCGGCGTCGTCTGCGGAGTTGTCGACAATCTGCGTTACCGCCTTCCCCTGCTTCGTTTGGCCTTTGGAAATGGGAGCGGGCGCCTTCTGTTTCCCCTCGCGCTTCTTGCAGCGCGCTTCCTCCTCCGCGACTTCTTTTTCGAACTCCTCCTCGTCCTCCTCGTCCTCCTCGTCTGTGAGCATAACGTGGTCCCGGGGATGCGTCTGACGGTCGTGCGTCACCCGTCGCATCCTCTGCGCCTGTGTCGACTCGTAGTCGTCGTCGGTGGCATCACCCTCGGAGTCGAAACCGCGGCCGTCATGCTCATCCTCCGCTGTGTCGTCGGGCAGAGGAAGGGACAGCGCGTCGTCCGTCTCGGGGAGTATGGGCATGCGTGCGCCACCGCCAGGAATCCGGGAGGAGGGGCCTGGAAGGGGGGAGGGAGGCTCTACGTAGCCCATCTCCGTCCTGTCTTGGAATGCATACTCGTCGACGTCCATCGGGAAGTCCGCAGCGGCTCCTGCGCCGGTGAGCTTGGGGGGCGGCATCGGTTCCCTTTTCAACCGCACGCTTTTCACGCGGGGTTTCGACAGCTCCGGCCCAAGCAGACTGAAGTCCATCCTGCGCAAAGGTGCCGCCGGGAGGGCGCGGGGTGGAGAGACCGCTGAGTTACCGCCCATTGACGGTGGCGGCATGCTCAGGGGACCGATGGGCGCGACGGTGTCCTCTCGGGTCCCAAACGCACTCCGTCGTGACGCTGTTCCGGCCAGGCGCTCGCGTAGTTCGCGCTCGGGCGTCGAGGGCGCATACGCCGCGGTGAGTGTTTTCAAAAATTGAGCTACGCCGCCTGAGGGGGCGACGGGCGCAGGCGGAGGGTGGCCAGGCGCGTGTGTTGGGGAGGTGATGGTGTCGGGGTCTTAGTAGGAGGCGGGGATGGGATTTTGGTAGTAGCAGGCGGCGTTGCGGGGCGCACATTCCACCGGCGTCGCGCTTCGAGAACGTGGCAGAGACGTTTGGCGGGCTTGTCCCGAACGTGCAGCCGGCGGTGTGGGTGGGGCCGG